TTTTAACTGGGTTATTGTGGCCAAGGTACATGCACGAGACAATTTTATAAGCAAGTTTCAACGGAATCGCACTGAAAAAGCCAATTTGGGTTTTTCACTAGCAATGCGCTTCCAAATAACGCTTTCCGCATCTGGATCAATAACATATAGTTGAGATTCAAAAATTTGGAAAATATAATCCCCTAAGTGTACCACTATCAAGACCGCTATTTGGAGCACTATTAAGTGTTGACTTATTAATAACATGCATGTCTAAAGGCATCGAAAGAATTCGAACTAACTGTTTTTCCGTAAATTATGTGCTTGTAAATATAGCTCATATTTCTGTCTTCCATTCGTATTCTTATAACGATCAGAGCACGCTAATAGATGGGGGAGGTGAATAGGTTTTCGGATCGTCGGATTTCACAGAAAAAATTGTTCGGATTTCGGATCTGGCGAATATTTTCACGGATTTGCGGATCTTATTAATACAGCGGTTGCGGGTTTATCTAGTATTTTGGCTCGGATTGTGGATTTAGCTTGCAATTTAGTTCGGATCCTGGATTGTGACTTCATAGTAGAGCTTTTAGCGGATTCAAATTTAGACAAGACCATTATCGGATCGCGGGTTTTGCTTCAAATTTGGGCGGATCGGCGGATTTGCATTCCCCTATTTACCTCCCCCCCCCCTAGATAATTAGTTTGGTTTGACAATGACCCTGAAATAGAGTCGGAAAATATCACCGCCATAATATGCATGTGTCTTGCTTTCTTCAAGTAACTAATATCTTGAGTTTACCAGATGGAATTATTATTCGAAGTATGTTTTTTCTTATATTTCTTAAAATTGTTTGTTAAGTGAAGAGTTTTAAACAATTTTTCTTCCATTCTATATATTCATGTCTGTTCGTGCTTCGCAAAATAATATTGCCTTATAGCCACCGAGTTTTCTCTTTGCTTTCGTGGTGTATTATTAAATAAAAACAACGCCAATAAAGTTATAAATCGTTACTGCCGCATGTGTTTTTTAACTCTTATCTTTTTTAACTTACATCAGGCTTGCTAGAACAACCTTGTAACAAACCTGACAATGGCATCAAACTTAATTGTTATAAATTGTTAACAGCTTGTAACAACCTTGTGTCGTCAATTTGGTAACATTTTTCAGTGTTTTATCACGACTGTATCAGACTTATAATTAGAATAACCTGGAACAAACCTTATAATATCATCAAGCTTGTTCCAAGTTGTAAGCAGCCTCTACCAAGCGCTATAGCTTGTTGATATTATCAAACTTGTGGCAACATTGTTCCAACAAGTCCGATATAGGCATGATCTTACAAAATTGTTACAACCTTGTGTCCTCAAACTTGTTACATTCTTGTTAGATAATGACTGTGTCAGACTTGTTAGAACAACCTTTGCAACAAGTCTGACAAGGCCATAAAGTTTGTTACAAGTTCTTAACTGTTTGTACAGCTAGCTTGTTGAAATTATTTCGACAAATGTAGACTTGTTGGAACAACCTTTGCAACAAGTTTGACAATCCGGTCAAGCTTGTTAGAGGAAGTTAACAGCTTGTGAAAAACTTGTTGATATTACCAGACCTGTAGCAAGGTTGTTTAAAAGAAAGACCGATACAGTCATTATTTAACAATATTGCTACAACCTTGTGTCATCATTTTTGTGACATTCTTGTTATATCATTGCATTATCAAACTTGTAAGAACAACCTTGTACAAAGTCTGATAAACCCATCACCCTTGTTATAATCTGATAATATCATGCAACAAGCTTGTTACAAGCTGTTAACACGTTGATCTACCAAGTCTGATGCAGTCGTGATATAGCAATAATGGACAAGGTTGACGACACAGAGTTGGAACAATATTGATAAATCATGACTGTATAGTATCGGACTTTTTGGATCAACCTTACTACAAGTCTGGTAATATCAACAAGCCTATTACAAGATGTTAATAACTTTTAACAAGTTTAATGACATTATCTGACTTGTTACAATTAAGATTGGCCCAATATTTCTGATACGATCATAATATAACAAGGTTGAACACACCAAATTGTATCAATATTGTTATATCATGAATGTATGGGACTTGTTGGAACAACCTTGCTAGAAGTCTGGTAGCGTCAACAAGCTTGTTGACAGATTGTGCATGACAAGCTTAATGACATTATCAAACTTGTTATAAGGTATCTCGATAAAGTCTGATACAGTCAAGATATAACCAGAATGTTACAAAGTTGACCAGATAAAATTGTAACAATATTGATGTATCATGTCTGTTTCGTGCTTGCTACAATTCTGGTAATATCAGCAAAGTTGTTACAAGCTGTTAACAACTTGTAGCAAGCTTGATGGCATTATCAGACTTGTTACAAGTTGTACTCACAAGTCTGTTACACAGGTCATGATTTAAGAAGACTGGTACCGGGTTGACGACAGAAGGTTTGTAACAATATGAATGTATTATGACCGTAACGGATTTGTTGGATCAACCTTGTTACAAGTCTGGTAATATCAACACGCTTGTCACAAGCTTTTAGTAACTTGTAACAAGCTTGATAGCGTTATCTTACTTGTTACAAGGTTGTTCTAGCAAGTCTGAGACAGCCAGTGACGTTTTCCAGGGGGAATGCGGGAACGCCGTCCCCCCACCCTTTTTTACCAGGGGAACGGCGTCCCCCCCTGCCAAAATTAAACGTGAAGGAACGGCGTTCCTGAAGGAACGGCGTTCCCCCTGGCAGGGATCAAATATGAGTGAAGTTCAGTGAACACCGTTTGACACCATCCAACTAATTTTGGCATCACTTGTTCTACATACGTGTTATTTTGGGCAATAATTGCTCAGCGTCCTACGTAGACATACTTCAGAACGTAATTGTGTCACTATTTTAATCTTCCTGAAACTTGATATTCTTGCATAAAATTCTAGTAGACTAGCACAAAAATACGAGAGTCTGATAATTCACGTCCGCTTAGATAAGTACTTACCAGTCCTAAGCGCGGATAGCGTCTCTCGCGAAATTAAACATTTAAATGAACAATAAAATGATCAATTGGGACATAAAATGATTCAATAAGAACATTAACATATGATCGAATGGATAGGATAAAAGGATATCTATTATCTAAGCTTATTTAGTTACTTGCGAAAACGTCATATTCAACTTGCAAAGTTGCCTTGTGTTTGCCGAGTTACTCACACAGCGCTAATTGCATCATCGAAATTCGAAATTCAACGTGGTTTTATTTGCTTTTTGACATCTACCACGCGTAAGCTAGGTGTTTTTTAGGTACATGTGTTACTAAAACCACTTCAAAGATTAAGCTATTGCGTATGTACTTGTTCACTATGAATAGGCCACGCCCAATCGAGTGACCACGCCCATTTGATTTTCAAGACCGTCCCCCCACTTCTAAAATTAGCAAAACATCGCTGGAGACAGCCATGATATAACATCAATTTTACCAGGTTGACGACGCAGCCTACGCAGGGTTGTAACAATATTAACAGACTTTCGTCGGTAGGGATGCAGCTAGCAGAAAAATACGGTATAAGGAGAATTTCGACGTTTGAAGCAAAGGCCCTTCGTCTGGATTTACAATAGCGTGTGTGGGGAAAATTACAATAGCTTTTATTTCGGAACCTAAATCGTTATCTCTGCACCTCATCCAATCTGATCCACTCACTGCATCTCATGCAATAGCTGTGGTACGCTCTATATTGGAAATATTGGTTAGATCTTTGAGGACAAGGCTTGGTGAGCATCGGCGTGAAGTCATTGGCAATGATGTTAACCAGCCTGTTGCCAGACAATGACAGTGTTTCTTACATGAAAATTCGAGCCTTCTGTCCCATTTCTGGAAGAAAGACATGAAACGCCTCATTTCCAAACTTGGGACTGTCCACCCCAATGGCATTAATTAATCGACGTTTTTCCTACGTTTGGCTCAATCTGCCCTTGCCAGTGTAAAGCAGACATTGACAGTACTTTTAATTTCTAAATTATTCAATACTTGTTCACTTATATTTTGTTCGGTAAATTTGTATTAATATATTCTGTAAAGTGATTTACATTTTTTTGTTTATACTTTGTTTCGACTAAATCCATCGGATTGGTTTATGTTTTGTCCTGTGATTTCTTTTATATTCTTAGTATAAAAGCTCATGTCATATCCCGACCCCTGCTATAGTAACTCCAGATGAAGGGTCTTCGCTCGATATTCTCCTTAATTTTTTTATTTTAACGACGAAAGCTTGTTATTCAAGACGAACATTCCCTGCACGAAATTTGGGACCCAGGAATGAGGTTCCAGAAATTGGAAAATCCTGCATTCTGGAAGTATATTGCCAATTATATTTATGTATATTTTACAGTAATTTATAATTTTGTGACATGCGGAGAAGAGAATATCAATCGTCAGGTGAGCGCTGTTAAAGTGATTCATCTGCAATTGTTCTGGAAATGAGAATTTCCTGAAACTTCCCAAGGCGAAGTTTGCTCCGGGCTCCCAGTGTAAGGGGGGCGCCAAATTTGCAAAATAAAAAAAAATAATTTGGAACGTTTTTTGATATAAATAATGGTGTGAGAAAAAATTTTCTAAACCTAAATTTTGCCGATATTGGTTAATTTTAACAAGAATTTGTCTGGAAAAAATATTTTTGAACCTTAACTGATGTTAGTCCGGAAAATTTTTTGGATCCTTTTATAATGTCCGGAAAAAATTTTACCCCCCCCCCCGAATAAAAATTTGCCCCGGGCCACCGAATTTCTCTGATAGGCCCTGATCGTGACCCTTTTATGATTTACTGCTGGAAACATCGGGATTCCCCAACGGTCCGTTATTAGATATTTTTAACAATTAGCTTCCTACTAAAAAGTGATTAATCACTCGAACCGACCTGACCGCGTAGCTCAGTTGGCAGAGCATTGGACTAGTAGTAATGTGATGTCCTTGGCGCCGAAAATTGATGAGATTCAACATTGCGTTGTGCACGCAAATTTTGGACCTACGACCTTTGGAATACTAGCCCAATGCTCTGCCAACTGAGCTACGTGGTACCAGACCGCGTAGACCAAGAAACTAAAAGAACTAAATATCCCCCATAATATCGCCAGTTGGATCGTTGATTTCCTGAAATGCCGCAAACAAAGGGTAAAATTGTCACAGGACTGTAAATCGGAATGGAAAAATGTGCCGGCAGGAGTTCCCCGAGGAACAAAGTTAGGGCCTTGGTTGTTCGTGTTGATGATTGACGATGTAGACACCACCAATACCGACTTGTGCAAATACGTGGACGATACCACAGCAGCGGAGATGGTAGAAAAAGGAGAGACAAGCAAGATCCAGAATATAGTAAATGAACTAACGGAAAATACGTATAGGAAAAAATTCCAGTTTAATGAGAAGAAATGCAAAGAGCTTCGGATCTCTTTTACAAAAAATCACCCTGAATACGCACCTATTGTTATCAATGATAAACCAATAGAAATTGTGACTACCATCAAATTACTGGGTCTGAACATTTCCAATAATCTTAAATAGAACCATCGTATAGAGGAAATTGTTAAAAAAACTTCCACCCGGTTGTATTTCCTGAGGCAACTAAAACGTGCCAAAGTTGCCGAAAAGGAACTTTTAACCTTCTACAAGACTTGTATTCGCCCTATAACCGAATACGCCTGTCCTGTTTTCCACAACGGATTACCCACGTATTTGTCAGATGAATAAGAACGTATCCAAAAACGCGCAATGCAAATCATATTCCCAAACATTAATTATCAGGACGCACTGAAGAACAGTAACTTATTTTCTTCATACGAAAGAAGAGAATACCTAACGGATAAACTCTTTGAAGAAATATGTTCTGATCCCAACCATAAACTGCATTATCTGGTGCCGAAACTAAACGAAACCGATATTGGACTAAGGAATAGACGCATGTTTAACTTTCCTATGTGTAAAACAAACAGACTAAAAAATAGTTGGCCTGGCATATTTTTCAAGCTCGCCCGGTGTGGATATACACTCAGAGTAACATCACAAACAATATATATTCATGTTGAATGATTAACCACGCTTTTTGCATGCGCGAAAAAACTGCAACTGACTTTCAAGTTTGGCCTCGATCAAACTTCCGATTGAAGGTAGCTTACCAGTT